TTATTATTATTATTATTATCAATGTGGAAAACAGTTGTTCTGTTAAATATTTTTGTGTTTTTTCAGGATACTTTGTATGAAACGAACAGAGTTTATTTGAATTTATTTGTGTTTATTTATTTGTAACATTATAAATGCCTTTACTGTCACTTTCAATCAATTAAAACTTACTGACCCCCAACTTAAAAATGGTTGTGTTTCATAAGGCTTTATTCCAAAGGTTGTATAAATGGTGTGTCTTTCTTTGTTCTGTCTCATAGGGGGCGCTGGTTAGTGCTTTGGCTGATGATAGTATTCACTTGTGGAACCTGCGACAGAAGAGACCAGCTGTGCTGCACTCACTCAAGTTCAACAAGGAGAGGTCAGCCACGGTCACTTAATCTACACTTGCTCTGAGCGTGTGTGTGCATGTAGACTGCTGGTCAGTGTTAGAGATACATGACCGCGCGCGCGTGGCAGAGCTGGTGTTGGTGTTTCTGTGGGCCCACACTCACATTTGATACCTCTGTTTCTCTCTTTCTCTCCCTTATTATTCCAGTTGACTTCCACTTGCTCTCTCACTGTTGGTACCCAGGTGCAGCCCAGAACACAACAGTCATTCTCTGTCGGTCGCACAGGGAGGCGAGTCAACATGTGCAGTCATGTTTGCAAACAGTAGTGGGAAAAGAGAAAATTTTAACTAATGCAGACAGAAGCCCTATTTTACTGTTTTAGAAGCAGTTTATTTATTCAGTTTTTACATCAAATCAAGGTTTCCTGCACTATTAGTCATAATTTAATTTAGGAATAGTTCACCCAAAAATGAAAATTCTGTCACTTACTCACCCTAATGTCGTTCCAAACCTGTATGACTTTCTGCCTTCTGTGGAACATGTTAAATGTTGACTTTTATGTTCCAAATATTTTTTTGGGGGTGAACTATCCCTTTTAATGACCATCAAATGTGGTAAAGAGTATTGCATTGTGCTTGGTTATACACAGTGTTAAAAACAGGCAGATTTCCTGATGACGTACATTATTTTTTTATAGTTTAGTAGATTAGAAGGCGAGTTGTGAAAGATATAGTACATTTACATTGCATATCACGCTGTTTTATTTCGTCCAGTTGCCATTAAATGTCTACTTTAAAAGCAAAAAAGTTACTTATTTGAAACAGTATCCTCAACGGTGACATGTGTTCATACGAAGGACACTTCAATCAGCGTTGTATCTCTGTGGCAAGAATTGAAGAATGTGTGAGACCTTTAATCACACTCATAGCTATAGATCAGTGCAGGAAGGTTGTAACCTTCTGATTCAGTTTGGACAGCTGTTGACTCTGATAAGAGATGAGGCAGCCCTTCACTTATAATATGCACTGCTTCTGTTGATGAGAGTGACAACTCGCCAACAGCGGCTTTCAGGGTCGAACATGTTTTTACCACATAACTGTGTGTTTGTTTGTGTGGGTCTCTGCACGTGTGTATCTGCCTCAGAAAGTACAGGCAAGGGTCATAGGTATAGGACTGATGTGTCTGTGTGCCTGACATTTAGAAAGTGTTTCCCTTTGCGACCTGCGACCTGAGGCTGCAATAGGGCGGCTGTGCCCCTGAGTGCAAACAAAATGTCTCTGTGTTGAGCTGTAAAGTTAACATGAATTGGCATTGAGAACACATTTTACTTGCATTTCTGAGCGATATTATTTTATATACGTATAATTAGGGCTGGACAATAATTCAATATCAGTATGTATCGCGATATAATTCTTTTCAATAACGGTGATATGATTTTTAAACACATTTCCGATATTTCGATATACATTATCAGTGTTTCCCATACATTGATTTATTTGTGGCGTTTGACTTGTTGAAGAAACATGAGCACTGCACGTTTCAAAATCAAAACG